AGGGCTCCTGAGACACGGGTGCTGCTGCGCCGGCCAAGAGGAGACCTGCTGAGCCACCCAAGAGGCAAAAGACGGAGGGAGGAGAAAACACGCTGAACGGAGCCAGAGACGGGCTCCTGCACCTGCAGCCTGATAAATCCCAGATCTCCTCGGGGTCTAAGCCTGCTCACGCTGCTGTCCATGGACCAGCACCCTGTGCGGTATCCTTCGGGAGGCAGCTGAACGGCACTTTAAGTCTCTGCTATTTGCAGAGCCCCTCACATTGATGTGAAAACCAGTGACACCCATGCATTGGGCATGCCCTGCCCCAAGGAACCAGCAATGACTCTTGGTCTCCTGCCCCACAGCCAGCGATGCCACCTCAATCCCATGCAGAGGGTCCCAGGGAGAAGAGGCACCACCAATGACCTACACAGGTGCACCCCACCTCTAGCAAGCCCTCTGCCACACAGCTCGCTCTGCAAGGCCAGCCACACCGGGGCAACCTGCACGACAGGCAAAGCAGCAATGCCAAAAAGCCTTTCCCAGATCCTTTTTTCAGGAATCGCTCTGCACTGAGGGAGAGGGACTTCCAGTGGCCCCTGGTGCCCCTGGATCTAGGCAGGGCCGAGGACTCAGGAGGATGCAGAGCTTCGTGATCCGCCTGTGGTTCCATAGGAAGCCTGTGGCAGAAAACAAACCAAACCCTGCTTCCAGGCCACCACGTTCTTCTCCACCCACAATGCTGTGCAAACAGCTAGGACATCTGAATGTAAGTGCTGGTGCCTGTGTCGGCCCACAACAATATCCATCACATCCCAGACCGTGCAAAATACAACCAAATAACCACTTTTGTAGGGGTTTGTCCTGACCTCCCTGCTCAGAAAAAAAAAAAAGGTACAAAGGCCAAGCTTGCAACTCATATGATTAATGTTCTGCATCAGGAATTTGGTGTGAATTCCGGCTTACCTCCCTGCATGGGCTCCCCCTCACCTCCCTTGCTCTGCATTCCTCAGCTGAGGCACAGGTTAGTTTCCAACTCCAAAGTTCTGATTTCTAAATGTTTAGGGAAA